CGTGCATGAGTGAGAACTGATGACCTACAACTGGAACGTCAAGTACGGACACACTGAAAGGATGAGGAGGAGGTGGGTGGAGGATCATCGCACCGGCACCATCACTCACTATCACCACACAAACATCCTTCCAATTCACTCCGTACAAACAGTGGACGTGTAAGCCAAGCGGTGTCATCATCAAAGAGGGTGCTGGCAAAGTAGCGGCATTCAAAGTGCCGACAGATCAAACCTACTTGACGTTGGTTAATTTACAAATAATGTGATCATCATGTGTGCCTCCTCACTTCAAGAGGCAAGACAAGAGATGCCGGTTGTGGACACCGCATTGGCCACGTCTGTTGGTTGGACGGGATGAGGAGAAGTGAGGGGCGATGCAGGCCACTACTGTCTGCTCGCTCATCCATCCAACTTCCCATGTGACTGTGAGGAAGGGTGGCACGGTGAAGGAGAGTGTGCATCGCATGCAAGAAGCCACATTTCATCGCGACACGATGGGAGTGGAGGGTGACGCGTGGTGGGTGGAGAGTGGATGCACTAGAGTCAGGTGGTGGTGGTGGTGGTGCCTCGCCTCCACTCACTGCATTCTTACATGGATGCGAGACGAGGAGGGTAGATGGAAGGCACGTGCTCCACCCAACCCTCGAGGCACGTGCACCCGTCACCAACGCCACTCCACTGTTTGAGTGATGACTGTTGTCGTGCCTATTGCACGTTGTGGTGGTGTCAAGCGGCCTCGAGGTGCGAATCGTCACAGCGAGGATAGATGGATGGGAGAAGACGGAGAGTGGAGTGGAGCGAAGATGAGGCGACTTGAGGTGAGGAGAGGGAAGGTGAGGGGAGGGGAGGGATGGTGGAGAGAGGACAGTGACGTGAGCATAGAGTGAAGGGTATGCATGGTCGTGGTGGTAGTCGCAGCGACAGTGAATGTGGAATGACGGTACTTGTGTTTATCACTATGACTGACGGTGCACCCAAGTGTTGAAAAATTGGTGCAACGTGATTGAGTAAACAAGGCGTCACATCATCCGGCTACTGGTTAGCCACCGACGATGTTGGCGTCGTTGTCGTCGCCGCCGTCATCATCACCACCATAATCATCACCGTTATCGGTAGCAGCACTTGCCACCTCAGGCAGTGGTGTTGACGACCAGACACCCAAACGAACAGAGGTGCTGCAAGGTGGAGGCAGGTGTTGAATGGTCGA